GTACAAAAGGTACGGTACCAGAGGTACGGTGATAAGAGGTACAGTGATAAGAGGTAAGTGATAAGAGGTACAGTGATAAGAGGTGCAGTGATAAGAGGTACAGTGATAAGAGGTGCAGTGATAAGAGGTACAGTGATAAGAGGTGCAGTGATAAGAGGTACGGTGATAAGAGGTACAGTGATAAGAGGTGCAGTGATAAGAGGTACAGTGATAAGAGGTACAGTGATAAGAGGTACAGTGATAAGAGGTACAGTGATAAGATGCAGTAATGGCAAGGGCGGGACGAAAAGGGGCGTGGCCATGCGGGCGTGGCGGAGGCGGGGCGAAAAGGGCGTGGTCAAGCAAGCGTATTAGGGGCGGGGCGACGAAGGCGTGGCCTGTAGGCGCGGGGGTGGTAGCGGAGCGATGAGGGCTGAATAAATTTCTGAATGAATTTTTCTAGAATTAAAACGACCAGAAAAGAAAGAGATAAAAGGACAAAAACAAAATAAAAAGTTAAAATTGCAAAGGCTATTGAAAGTTTTATGATCAATAATTTTTTTTTTTAAATGGAATTTCCGTATGGTATTTCATTGAATTTTTATGTCTTTTTTTCTTGCTTAACAAAAAAAAAAAAAAAAAAGAGAACAAAAAATATGATAGGAAAGAAAAAGAAAAAAAACCTAAAATTACAAAAAAAAAAATCATGTTTGCTATCTGTTTTGATGATAATAAATTGAATAACTCAGTGATTAAATTAAATTATGAAATAATTTTTTATTTTTAGTTGCAATATAATATAGAATAAAAGAATCAATTAAACTATTTAGTACCTAAATTAGATTAGTTAAAAAAATCAGCGAAACAAAAATATTCATTTAAAAATGATGAAATTAATGAAATTGAAAAAATATTTTTCTTTTTTAAGAAAAACTAATTTTCTTTTAAAGTTTCAAAGAATTTGGTAAATATTGTTACTGTTATTGTTATTATTGCTACCTTTCAAATTTAACTACTAATATATGTCATACCTTTTTTTCTTTTTTTTTTTCAAAATTTGTCTACTTAAATTACTATACTTTTTTTTTGGTGATATTTAAATGGTTATGCTTTATTTAAATTTATTCTAGCATGTGGAATTCTAGCATGTTTAAGGACATCTATTTGCTAATATTTAATTTAGAATATTTGGAATGTAATATTGTTTATCTTGCATTGTATAATAGCTCAAATATTTTAGAAAAAGTAATAAAGTAAAAAATTAGTAAAAAAAAAAAAGTAAAAAATTATGTTACTTATAAATTTAGTCATTGCTATTTTCAATTATTAGCAATATTTGATTCTTGAATTTGCAATTCAATTTTAAGTAATCGAATATTAGCTCATATTTCAGATAATATATGCTAATCAATGGCAATCAATGCAACTAATAAATGATCAAAAAGCAATTCATTTTCGTCCTTTTTTTTTCTTTTACATTTAGGAAAATTATCATTGAATAATAATCAGTTCAAAAAAAAAAAAAAAGCATTGATCATAGCTAATTGATCAAAATAACTGCAATCATTTAGAATCAAATTACGATCATTTTAGACAAATCAAAAAATGATTGTTTTAACTATCCAATAAAGCTAATAACAATTTTGTGGACAAATGTTCAATTATTTGACAAAATTTTCTTTGTCGCAAAAAAAAAAAAAAAAAAAAAAAACTAATCATAAAATAACAATTGAACACTGAAAATAAATTGATAATTAATAATAATAATTAAATTTTTCTTATAAAATTCCTCAGTATGAAATAACAAATTTTGTCACTTATTTTTTTTTTTTAAATCCTGAAATTGGTAATAGTTGTAGTTCCTTCAAAATTTGAGAAATTTTGAAAAAGCAAAGATTATTTGTTATAAAAATGAGCAAATTTCAAAACATATTTATAATTAATTTCAGGATAAAAATCCTATCAAGAATTTACATGTGGTTTGAATTTATAATCTTTTCAATTTTAATACAATAATTTTTGAAATAGTTTTAATATTACTTTAATTAAAAAAAAAATTTATTAAGTATTACTTTAATCAAAATCAAAAAATTGATTATATATTACTTTAATTTATTATATATTACTTTAATCAAAATCAAAAGTTTAGCAATTAAGCTTACATATTACCTTCATGCTGAAAGCTAAATGATTGCAAAATTTCAAATTTAACATTTTCTTACACCTATTTTATTTTAAAATAACTTAAAATTTTTGTTTTGCTAGATTTTTGTAGCTTAATTTAATTAAATAAGCTTTACCGATTGATATATTTCTCGAGAAAATTTTATAATTTTGCAATCTGATATAAAAAATGACTTTAGTGATAAATTTATAATTGATATAAACTGTTATCATATCTCTACTAGCCAAGCCAATAAGTGTTAAATTTTTCATCTAATGTTACCTAAGTTTCAAAAGCAGAATTTTATATTTATATTTTAGCTTAAATTATATTTTTGTCAAATTAATTTTTCATTTAATTAAGAAAAGTTTATTATTTAAAAATTCCATTCAGTTTTAATAGTTTCAAATAATTACAGCTATCAGTTTTACGTAATTTATGCATATTTTAACAATTTCAGCAGTTTTATGCTTATATTTGAATTTATAATTTTAATTTTGCGCTCAAATCTTTTTTTAGAATAATTGATTCGTGATAATATGAAGTTATTATCAGAACTATATTTGATAACTTTTAAAAATAACTAATTAATTGATAACTAGTAAAACTGCTATAGAATCCTAATTATTATTGATTAAATCTATTAGATTCAAAACATTTGCTGTTAAACTGAATGAAATTATGAAATTTAATATAATTTTTTTTTTTTTTTGCTCATTAAATCATTAAATGATCAATGCCGCATTCTTTAAAAGCATTAATTGATTCAACTGATTTAATCAATATTATCAAATCAGTGTAAATAATTTACCAATATTATCATATCACAATATCAATGTAATTTAAGTAGATTAAGGATATTAAATGTTAAATTATTTTTATAATATCAATATTCTATCAGTTATAATCAGTGTGACATTTTTGTGACAATTTCTCCTTTCCTAAATTCATTTGCATTCAAATGAAAGCACTTTTAATGATTTGTTAATTTATCAATTTTTTTCTTAAACGCTCTTACGCTGATCACACAGCTAATTGATAAATAACACATTTCAATTGTTTAGCTGATAAGATATATCAAAATGAACTTTTATAAGATTGATCTGAACATCTTAGCTAAATCATTCATTTATTTTCAAATTAATTTTTATCATAAACAACCAACAATTTAATTCTATTAATTTCATTCTTTGTCTTTCACAGTTTTTTTTTCTAAAATTTAATCATTTCCCATCCATTAAATCAATTAATCTATTTGATAATAATAAATCAATCTTATGTGCAACAAATAATCTTTTTTTTTTTTATCTCATAAATCGATTTGAAAATTGATTTATTATTATCAGTGTGTTCAATCAGTTACAAAAGTGACAAAAATATTCACAAACATTTCAAATTTTCCGACTTAAAATTTTCAAAATAATTTTTTATCACTTGTGCTTAATTTAAAAAAAAAAAAAAAAAAAAAAAAAAAACTTATTTTCTTACATATTTTATCAATTCATAAAATTTCAAATTTTCATAAGAACTTTTTTTTTTTTGAAAAAAGAAAGAAAAGAAGATGTATAACTGTATTATAATGTAATTTCATATCACAAAAATTATCCTATTATAATGAAAAAATCAAATGAAATAATATATCATTGACATATAAATAGCAAACAAAATTAATTATCATATTAAATTAAAATTTGAAATTAGGAAAAAGAGAACAATTCATTTTATTAGTTATGTCACATTACTTTTATACAATTATTTCAATCAATACAAAAGTTTTTTTTTTTTAGTTTGATTCCATTTCAATCAACATATATAATAGTTTGATTCCATTTCAACATATATCATATTCGATACATTTATTTATTTTATAATTATTATACTTCCCAGAACAATTTTCCCAAAAAAACTTCAGCTAGAAAATCAAAATTTATTACTTTTTCTAAAATATTTGAGCTATTATACAAGATAAACAATATTACATTCCAAATATTCTAAATTAAATAATACCAAATAGATATCCTTAAACATGCTAGAATTCCACATGCTAGAATAAATTTAAATAAAGCATAACCATTTAAATATCACCAAAAAAAAAAGTATAGTAATTTAAGTAGACAAATTTTGAAAAAAAAAAAAAAAAAAAAAAGTATGACATATATTAGTAGTTAAATTTGAAAGGTAGCAATAATAACAATAACAGTAACAATATTTACCAAATTCTTTGAAACTTTAAAAGAAAATTAGTTTTTCTTAAAAAGAAAATATTTTTCAATTTCATTAATTTCATCATTTTTAAATGAATATTTTTTGTTTCGCTGATTTTTTTAACTAATCTAATTTAGGTACTAAATAGTTTAATTGATTCTTTTATTCTATATTATATTGCAACTAAAAATAAAAATTATTTCATAATTTAATTTAATCACTGAGTTATTCAATTTATTATCATCAAAACAGATAGCAAACATGATTTTTTTTTTTTTGTAATTTTAGGTTTTTTTTTTCTTTTTCTTTCCTATCATATTTTTTGTTCTCATTTTTTTTTTTTTTTTTTTTTGTTAAGCAAGAAAAAAAGACATAAAATTCAATGAAATACCATACGGAAATTCCATTTAAAAAAAAAATTATTGATCATAAAACTTTCAATAGCCTTTGCAATTTTAACTTTTTATTTTGTTTTTGTCCTTTTATCTCTTTCTTTTCTGGTCGTTTTAATTCTAGAAAAATTCATTCAGAAATTTATTCAGCCCTCATCGCTCCGCTACCACCCCCGCGCCTACAGGCCACGCCTTCGTCGCCCCGCCCCTAATACGCTTGCTTGACCACGCCCTTTTCGCCCCGCCTCCGCCACGCCCGCATGGCCACGCCTTTTCGTCCCGCCCCTTGCATTACTGCACCTCTTATCACTGTACCTCTTATCACTGCACCTCTTATCACTGCACCTCTTATCACTGTACCTCTTATCACTGTACCTCTTATCACTGTACCTCTTATCACTGCACCTCTTATCACTGCACCTCTTATCACTGTACCTCTTATCACCGTACCTCTTATCACTGCACCTCTTATCACTGCACCTCTTATCACTGCACCTCTTATCACTGTACCTCTTATCACTGCACCTCTTATCACTGTACCTCTTATCACTGCACCTCTTATCACTGTACCTCTTCTCACTGCACCTCTTATTACTGAACCTCTTATCACTGCACCTCTAATCACTGTACCTCTTATCACTGTACCTCTTATCACTGTACCTCTTATCACCGTACCTCTTGGTACCGTACCTTTTGGTACCGTACCTCTTGTTACCGCACCTTTTGGTACCGTACCTCTTGGTACCGTACCTTATGGTACCGTACTTTTTGTTATTGTACCTCTTGTTACCGTACCTTTTATCACCGTACCTCTTGGTACCGTACCTCTTATCACTGTACCTCTTGGTACCGTACCTTTTGGTACCGTACCTCTTGTTACCGCACCTTTTGGTATGGTACCTCTTGTTACCGCACCTTTTGGTACCGTTCCTCTTGGTACCGTACCTTTTATCACCGTACCTCTTGGTACCGTACCTCTTATCACTGTACCTCTTGGTACCGTACTTTTTGTTATTGTACCTCTTGTTACCGTACCTTTTGGTACCGTACCTCTTGGTACCGTACCTTTTGGTACCGTACTTCTTGGTACCGTACCTTTTATCACCGTACCTCGTGGTACCGTATCTTTTATTACTGTACCTCTTGGTACCGTACTTCCTATCACCGTTTTAACAAAAGATATGGTACCAAAAGGCGCGGTAACAAGAGGTTCGGTACTAAGAGGTACGGTAACAAGAGGTACAGTAACAAAAAGTACGGTACCAAGAGGTACAGTGATAGAGGTACGGTACCAAGATACAGTGATAAAAGTACGGTAACAAGAGTACATCAACAAAGATACGGTACCAAGATACAATAACAAAATACGGTACCAAGAATACGGTGATAAAATACGGTACCAGAAGGTACAACTAAGGTACGGTAACAAGAGGTACAATAACAAAAGTACGGTACCAAGAGTACAGTGATAAGAGGTACTTTAAGAAGGTACGGTGATAAAGGACGGTACCAGAGTACGGTACCAAAAGGTGCGGTAACAAAAGGTACGGTACCAAGGTGCGGTAACAAGAGTACGGTACCAAAAGGTACGGTACCAAGAGGTACAGTGATAAAGGTACTACAAGAGGTACGGTGATAAAAGTACGGTAACAGAATACAATAACAAAAGTACGGTACCATATGGTACGGTACCAAGGTACGGTACCAAAAGGTGCGGTAACAAGAGGTACGGTACAAAGGTGCGGTACCAGAGGTACAGTGATAAGAGGTACAGTGATAAGAGGTACAGTGATTAGAGGTGCAGTGATAAGAGGTACAGTGATAAGAGGTGCAGTGATAAAAGGTACAGTGATAAGAGGTACAGTGATAAGAGGTACAGTGATAAGAGGTACAGTGATAAGAGGTACAGTGATAAGAGGTGCAGTGATAAGAGGTACAGTATAAAGAGGTGCAGTGATAAGAGGTACAGTGATAAGAGGTGCAGTGATAAGAGGTGCAGTGATAAGAGGTACAGTGATAAGAGGTACAGTGATAAGAGGTACAGTGATAAGAGGTGCAGTGATAAGAGGTACAGTGATAAGAGGTACAGTGATAAGAGGTGCAGTGATAAGAGGTACAGTGATAAGAGGTGCAGTGATAAGAGGTGCAGTGATAAGAGGTACAGTGATAAGAGGTGCAGTGATAAGAGGTACAGTGATAAGAGGTGCAGTGATAAGAGGTACAGTGATAAGAGGTACAGTGATAAGAGGTGCAGTAATGGCGGGGGGCAAGACGAAAAGGGGCGTGGCCATGCGGGCGTGGCGGAGGCGGGGCGAAAAGGGCGTGGTCAAGCAAGCGTATTAGGGGCGGGGCGACGAAGGCGTGGCCTGTAGGCGCGGGGGTGGTAGCGGAGCGATGAGGGCTGAATAAATTTCTGAATGAATTTTTCTAGAATTAAAACGACCAGAAAAGAAAGAGATAAAAGGACAAAAACAAAATAAAAAGTTAAAATTGCAAAGGCTATTGAAAGTTTTATGATCAATAATTTTTTTTCTTAATGGAATTTCCGTATGGTATTTCATTGAATTTTTATGTCTTTTTTCTTGCTTAACAAAAAAAAAAAAAAAAAAAATGAGAACAAAAAATATGATAGGAAAGAAAAAAGAAAAAAAACCTAAAATTACAAAAAAAAAAATCATGTTTGCTATCTGTTTTGATGATAATAAATTGAATAACTCAGTGATTAAATTAAATTATGAAATAATTTTTATTTTTAGTTGCAATATAATATAGAATAAAGAATCAATTAAACTATTTAGTACCTAAATTAGATTAGTTAAAAAAATCAGCGAAACAAAAAATATTCATTTAAAAATGATGAAATTAATGAAATTGAAAAAATATTTTTTCCTTTTTAAGAAAAACTAATTTTCTTTTAAAGTTTCAAAGAATTTGGTAAATATTGTTACTGTTATTGTTATTATTGCTACCTTTCAAATTTAACTACTAATATATGTCATACCTTTTTTTTTTTTTTTTTTTTTTCAAAATTTGTCTACTTAAATTACTATACTTTTTTTTTTTGGTGATATTTAAATGGTTATGCTTTATTTAAATTTATTCTAGCATGTGGAATTCTAGCATGTTTAAGGATATCTATTTGGTATTATTTAATTTAGAATATTTGGAATGTAATATTGTTTATCTTGTATAATAGCTCAAATATTTTAGAAAAAGTAATAAATTTTGATTTTCTAGCTGAAGTTTTTTTGGGAAAATTGTTCTGGGAAGTATAATAATTATAAAATAAATAAATGCATCGAATATGATATATGTTGAAATGGAATCAAACTATTATATATGTTGATTGAAATGGAATCAAACTAAAAAAAAAAACTTTTGTATTGATTGAAATAATTGTATAAAAGTAATGTGACATAACTAATAAAATGAATTGTTCTCTTTTTTCTAATTTCAAATTTTAATTTAATATGATAATTAATTTTGTTTGCTATTTATATGTCAATGATATATTATTTCATTTGATTTTCATTATAATAGGATAATTTTTGTGATATGAAATTACATTATAATACAGTTATACATCTTCTTTTCTTTCTTTTTCAAAAAAAAAAAAAGTTCTTATGAAAATCTGAAATTTTATGAATTGATAAAATATGTAAGAAAATAAGTTTTTTTTTTTTTTTTTTTTTTTTTTTAAATTAAGCACAAGTGATAAAAAATTATTTTGAAAATTTTAAGTCGGAAAAATTTGAAATGTTTGTGAATATTTTTTGTCACTTTTGTAACTGATTGAAACACACTGATAATAATAAATCAATTTTCAAATCGATTTATGAGATAAAAAAAAAAAAAAGAATTATTTGTTGCACATAAGATTGATTATCACTGCACCGATTTATGAGATAAAAAAAAAAAAAAGAATTATTTGTTGCACATAAGATTGATTATCACTGCACCTCTTATCACTGTACCTCTTATCACTGTACCTCTTATCACTGTACCTCTTATCACTGTACCTCTTATCACCGTACCTCTTGGTACCGTACCTTTTGGTACCGTACCTCTTGTTACCGCACCTTTTGGTACCATACCTCTTGGTACCGTACCTTATGGTACCGTACTTTTTGTTATTGTACCTCTTGTTACCGTACCTTTTATCACCGTACCTCTTGGTACCGTACCTCTTATCACTGTACCTCTTGGTACCGTACCTTTTGGTACCGTACCTCTTGTTACCGCACTTTTTGGTATGGTACCTCTTGTTACCGCACCTTTTGGTACCGTACCTCTTGGTACCGTACCTTTTATCACCGTACCTCTTGGTACCGTACCTCTTATCACTGTACCTCTTGGTACCGTACTTTTTGTTATTGTACCTCTTGTTACCGTACCTTTTGGTACCGTACCTCTTGGTACCGTACCTTTTGGTACCGTACCTCTTGGTACCGTACCTTTTATCACCGTACCTCGTGGTACCGTATCTTTTATTACTGTACCTCTTGGTACCGTACCTCTTGTTACCGTACTTTTTATCACTGTATCTCTTGGTACCGTACTTCCTATCACCGTTTTAACAAAAGATATGGTACCAAAGGCGCGGTAACAAGAGGTTCACTAAGATACGGTAACAAGGTACAATAACAAAAGTACGGTACCAAGAGTACATGATGACGGTAGAAGATACAGTGATAAAAGTACGGTAACAAGAAGTACGGTAGCAAGAAATACATTAACAAAGATACGGTACCAAAGATACAATAACAAAAATTACGGTACCAAGAGGTACGGTGATAAAAAGTACGGTACAAAGGTACAGTAATAAAAGATACGGTACCACGAGGTACAATAACAAAAAGTACGGTACCAAGAGGTACGGTAACAAGAGGTACAATAAGAAAAAGTACGGTACGAAGAGGTACAGTGATAAGAGGTACGGTACCAAGAGATACAGTGATAAAAAGTACGGTAACAAGAGGTACGGTACCAAGAGGTACAGTAATAAAAGATACGGTACCACGAGGTACAATAACAAAAAGTACGGTACCAAGAAGTAGAATAATAAAAGGTGCGGTAACAAGAGGTACATTAACAAAAGATACGGTACTAAAAGATACAATAACAAAAATTACGGTACCAAGAGGTACGGTGATAAAAGGTACGGTACCAAGAGGTACGGTGATAAAAGGTACGGTACCAAGAGGTACGGTACCAAAAGGTACAGTGATAAGAGGTACGGTACCAAGAGATACAGTGATAAAAAGTACGGTAACAAGAGGTACATCAACAAAGATACGGTACCAAAGATACAATAACAAAAATACGGTACCAAGAGGTACGGTACCAAAAGGTACGGTAACAAGAGGTACGGTACCAAAAGGTACGGTAACAAGAGGTACAATAACAAAAAGTACGGTACCATAAGGTACGGTACCAAGAGGTACGGTACCAAAAGGTACGGTAACAAGAGGTACGGTACCAAAAGGTACGGTACCAAGAGGTACGGTGATAAGAGGTACAGTGATAAGAGGTACAGTGATAAGAGGTACAGTGATAAGAGGTACAGTGATAAGAGGTACAGTGATAAGAGGTGCAGTGATAAGAGGTACAGTGATAAGAGGTGCAGTGATAAGAGGTACAGTGATAAGAGGTGCAGTGATAAGAGGTACAGTGATAAGAGGTGCAGTGATTAGAGGTGCAGTGATAAGAGGTACAGTGATAAGAGGTACAGTGATAAGAGGTACAGTGATAAGAGGTACAGTGATAAGAGGTGCAGTGATAAGAGGTACAGTGATAAGAGGTGCAGTGATAAGAGGTACAGTGATAAGAGGTGCAGTGATAAGAGGTACAGTGATAAGAGGTGCAGTGATAAGAGGTACAGTGATAAGAGGTGCAGTGATAAGAGGTACAGTGATAAGAGGTACGGTGATAAGAGGTACAGTGATAAGAGGTGCAGTGATAAGAGGTGCAGTGATAAGAGGTACAGTGATAAGAGGTACAGTGATAAGAGGTGCAGTAATGGCGGGGGGCGGGACGAAAAGGGGCGTGGCCATGCGGGCGTGGCGGAGGCGGGGCGAAAAGGGCGTGGTCAAGCAAGCGTATTAGGGGCGGGGCGACGAAGGCGTGGCCTGTAGGCGCGGGGGTGGTAGCGGAGCGATGAGGGCTGAATAAATTTCTGAATGAATTTTTCTAGAATTAAAACGACCAGAAAAGAAAGAGATAAAAGGACAAAAACAAAATAAAAAGTTAAAATTGCAAAGGCTATTGAAAGTTTTATGATCAATAATTTTTTTTAAATGGAATTTCCGTATGGTATTTC